AACCGTTTTCATTCTTTAGCTTTGCATTTTCAAGCAGTGCAGACCGAAGCCTGCACTCCAAATTCAATAGATATTCCTTCTTCTTCCTCCGGGACAGGCATGCTGATTCACGGTTCTTAATCATTCTTTCTTGGCGTCTTAGTGCATTTACCTATTAGGTAGCAATACAAAATGAATTTAAATAATTGAAAATCTTACAATTCCATGCTTAATTTGCGAGCAATCAAATCTTTGATTCCAAACTCATATCAACTTTGAGCAAACATTATGCTCCTTACTTCTGGCATTTTAGAAATTAGTCACATTGCACTTTTTAAGAATGCAATAATACATCATAATCAGATCTATAGAATAAGAAACTGGAGTTAGAGTGAGTTTTTTGACTCTTCACTCCTGATCCCAATTAATCTTCAATCTTAACTCCAAAAACCTTTAATGTCCCTAAATTTTCTAATTCCCTTTATACCCCAAAACTACTGATCTCTGCTTTAAAGTCTGCTTTTAGTTAAAACCTGAGATTATGAGAAAAGGGCAAAGGAGGAGGGGAAAAATAGTTTAATTTGAGGTGTCAGCAGAGGGATTCGTTATCAGTTTGGAGCTTTTACATGTGTGTTGAAGTGATTCTGTCAATGCTTTGAAAGGCATGAGAATAACATCCTTCCAGCACGAGATGAAAAAGGTAGAGGGGGTGGTTTCCAGTTCCGTTGAATGACCTGTAAATCCTCTGCATTTTGAAGGAATCTAAAGTACTCATTATCCAAGTTGCTAAAACTTGAAACAATTCCTCCTTTATTTTTATACTATCGGATATTTCACACTACCATTCCTCAACTACACCATCTGTTTTGTTCCTCACCGTTGTGATAATAGACATGAAGTGTTCAGTAAGAGCCATGCATAAATCTTATGCTTCCACAGACACATTAGCTTGCTGGACTGTAATATCACCTATACATGCTTAACTTATTCTTTTCCTTTTATGTATTTAGAAATAGCTTTTCACTTTCCTTGACCTTAACTTGTCAATATATTTTCACGTACATTTTACCCATGCACTTTCTGTACTTCCAAGGATACATAGCTTTGGGTTCTTGAAATCTTTATATAACTTGTTTTTAGCCTTACCCTACATGTTCTCTCTCTGATACACAGCTTTGGGAATTCTGTGATAATATTTTTTCTGAATTGTTTTCATCTCCTCCTCGAATGTATCTACTGCAAAAATGTTGATTTACTTTCAAATAGCTGTTACCAGTCCACTTTTGACAATCACATGTCAACTTAGGCCTTTCTTCAATTTCAAAAGCTTTACTCCTGGTCTTTGTCTTTTTTCCCATAATTGTTCTAAATCTAACTGAATTATATAATCAATTACACTAAAGTGCTCTCCCACTCACAGCCATTGCATCTGCCCTGGCTCATTCTGTAAATCCAAAATTGCCCATTCTTATTCACTCACTATACAGCAATTAAGTTTTCCTCTAAGCATTTCAAGGAGTCTGTGCCTCTATACCCATTATGTTGAACTTATCTTGGTTAGTTATAGTTCTGAAGAAGGGTCTCGACCCAAAACGTCAACTTTCCTGCTCCTCTGATGCTGCCTGGCCTGCTGTCTTCCTCCAGCTCCACAGTGTTATCATAGTTAGCGTTAGAAGGAGGCAGGCTGCCCTGAATGATAACATCCAATACGGGGAGCAGTCTCATGCTGTTGGCTTTATTCAGTACAACACACTAGCTAACTGAGCTAACCAACTACCACAATTCAACCAGTGCACTGTTACAAACATCCAGATGGCTTGTAGTCTAAACTGAAATATTTTATGCAACAGTTAAAGAGTTCTCCATAAGATTCACAACTCATCGAAGAGGAATATTAGCAGCTCTTACTCTCCATTATGCCTTATTTACTCTATTACAGTATGTATATAAACCAAATATCTCTTCTATAGTTTTCATCTTGTCAATACCTCATACTTAAGCAACTGGTCCAATTCTTCAATTGCCTTGCTTCAAGTAACTTTCTTTACAACTAATGTTAAACTAAATGTGAATGCAACTACTCTACATTTCATTTAGCCCCACGTTACCACAAAATTTCAAGGCAAAAATTACAGAAGTACTGAGGATGCTGAAAGAAAAACAGAAACTGCTGAAAAAAACTCAGCAGGTCTGGCATTTCGGGTCCAGTGGCACTTCTTCAGAAAAAAATCTGACCTCGTTAATAGTGCAACAAAGAACATGCTTCTGAAGAACTCACAGCAAAGGTTCAGGAAAGGGAAGGAGCAATGAACAGGCAACTTTGGAGGAAGGAGGGTTAAGGAGAGATATGTGAAGCACTAAAGAAATCTGAGAACAGGACAGGCTGCTCCAAAATGGCATTGGTTGGGTCACACACTCTTCTTTAGCCCCGACACAACTCTAGCTTGACACAAAGTGGGCATACTGGCCCCATAATATCTGAAAAGCTAAAATAAAGTGTTGCTGAAATGAGGCAATACAAAATGGGGACTTAGTGCATTCAATTCAGGATGTATTTCCATTATAACATTAGCCTTGGAAAGAAGCTGAGCTGTAAATGATGTTAATGACACACAATAACAAATTATAGTACTTTAATAGTTCTTGAATTTATTTCAATACTTGGGAGGATTTTTTGTTCTTTTTCAAAAAAGACTGCAGATTTTTTCCCCTCAATTAGTAATTCTCGAGGTGCCAGTGACCAAATAGTTTTTACTTTCCACCCTAAGTTATTCTGAGGACATAAAACATCAAAAGCATGGGACAAAGAGTTATATATATCAGGATGGGATATGGCAGCTTGCCTCCATGGAAAGATATTATGCAAAACATTTTGATTTCTATCAACAATCTGGCAGCTTTTACAGCTATGTTTTCTAGTGCTAATCCATAAATAAGCAGGCTTGTTTAATTCAAATTGACAATTTGACACAGTCGGATTTGAATTCAGAATAACTGAGCTGTAGCGGTCATGACTGACAACTATTTTAGAAATTTGCAGTAGAATCTAACAGTAACATTACGCAGCATTTAATCAAGTATCTTGACATAAAGTGCAAATATTCATTTGCTACAAGTAATAGCTTGAATAATTTCAATGTGAATTGCACAGTAGAATTGCGTTGACACATATTTAATCACCAGCGTGATGGATGTTAATCTTCAGTACTGTCTTAATCTTGAGAACTATATGGCTCGTCAGGCAAGCAGAAAATGAATGAAAAAAATCAGGGGTTTCAGAACCAAACCCAGGTTCCCTCTGGTAAAAGGATTGTGTTAATCCACTCCATGGTTGTCAGTTTGTTTCTCATACACATACCTAGAGCGTACTACGTTCTTGTCGTAACTTAGCTCGGAAACCACGCTGATTTCAATTGCCTCTGCAAACAGACCAAATGATAGACCACAATTTGTACAAGCAAAAAAGTCTCCAAGCAAATGATCATAATCCCCACCCAAAACATTTATGCATGTACTTCTTATATGATTGTTGTGAACCTTCTGCAAACCTTTTGATAATAGAGTCCCATTTTAAGATGCTCTGACAGCTGAGTATTCCTTGCTCAATCTAATTGATGAAACAGTTGGGAACAGAAAGCAAAATAACTGACTTTACACGAACTCCACACAGACTTCAAACTGTTTTGCTGATAATAAGTTAAAAAGGACAAAAGTGCAAAAGATCAGTCCATTCAACCAAAATCAAATGAACCAAGTCTCTGTCACTCTGCCGCTACTGGTTCCTAAGAATCAGAGTACCAATCTGTTACATTTATGCATATTACTGCAAACAAGAACTTTAAAATCATGAAGACATTAAATTAGCCAGCCAACAGATGCATGTAATTGGTAAGTCAGCATTGTGTGCTCACTCAACTGTCCATTCCTGAGAACATCATTAATTCCCACAACACACAGGGTTCTAATTAAATCTTAATGCCAGTCAGAGAAAGAGAGACAGGCAGACAGAAAGTGGATCATAAAAAAGGGTGTAAGCAAGAAATACACGTCTAAGTGCACGACCCTCCACGTGTCCTTGCATTTAGCTTTAAAACAGTATAAGCAGATAGCAACGGGAAAAAAAATTTTGATACTGAAGAAATGAGTTGGCGAGCTGGGTGGGGAGGGTGGTGAGAGGAAGGAAACATTTTATGTGGTAGGGAAAATATCCATTAATTTATGAATGTGAAATAACATCCAAAAGCCAAAACATGTATAGGTCCTCTGTGCAATGATCACCTTCGGAAGTACCCAGGATCTCTCTTTTCACAAGTATAAAAATACATTGTCTTTCAAGGTGTAGAAAAGTTAAAATTATTATTTCGAGCTTTGAAAGAATATAATCCTTACATCCTCAATTCTTCTGACGATTCACGAGTTTCTAGTTCGCGGTCCCCAGCCACCTCTTCTTTACCACAGACGTGCAATCCTTTTACACGTCTATCCCCCATCAGGATGGTCTCAGGGCTCTCTGCTTCTTCCTGGAAGAAAGACCTGAACCATCCCCAAGCACCACCACACTCCTCCACCTAGCTGAGCTCATCCTCACTTTGAAAAACTTCTCCTTTAACTCCTCCCACTTTCTTTAGGTCAAAGGTGCAGCTATGGGTATCCATATGGGCCCCAGTTATGCCAGTCTCTTTGTCGGGTATGCAGAAAATTCTTTGTTCCATTCCAACTCTGGCTACCACCCACAACTCTTTCTCCTATACATCGATAACATTATTGGTGTTGCTCCCCTCTCTCATCCAGAATTGGAAAAATTCATCAATTTTGCTTCCAATTTCCACCCAATTTCGCCTTCACCTGGTCATCTCTGACTTTTCCCTTCCCTTCCTGAACATTTCTGTTCCCATTACTGAGGACAGGGTGGCCACCACAAACCATCAACTCCCACAAGTTTCCTTGACCATACATTCTCGCCTTCTGCTTCCTGTAAAGACTCTATTTCATTCCTCTAGCTCCTCCATCTCCATCGCATCTGTTCCGATGATGCCAACTTTGACAAGAAGGCCTTTGAAATGTCCACCATTTCCCTCAACCAAGGATTCGCCACCACCATGGTTGACTAGCAGTCAGCTGTGTCCAACACATTCCCTGCACTTCAGCCCTCACCCCTCTCTTCCCTCCCAC